TTAGAGTGTTTAAGATTTATTTTCTTTTCGTGTGTGCTTAATACCAACGGTAAATTCTGAACCGTCTTCCTCGAAAGATCGACCCGGGAAAGAATATTTTGATTCGGTACTCGGTAAAATTAAAAATAGTTTGCTACAATAGAAGCCACAAGTAATACGCTATATTACGACGCAACTAGGTGTATATGGCCGTCTTAGGGTGTTAAAAGAATCGAAACAATTTTCCAAAAACTATTTGTGGAATAAAAGAAAACATTTTTTTTTTTTTGTAAAATCAGAATAAACATATTCACTGTCCTATAAACGATTAACAATATTTCGTTCTTGATTGCTTGGGTAAATATGTTGTTCCAAAAAAAAAAAAAAAAAATTAAAATAAAATAAATAAACCTTGAACATAAATCAACAAATTACTCGTGATGACTGCATGATGTAATACATCAAAATTTTGCTCATTCTATCTTGTCTTCGATCTCTCTTTCAGCAATATGTCTCATCTTACGAATTTCTTCAGCCAAATGCTCGCGAGAGGCTTTGGCATCTTTCCCGTCCTCAGCCGTGCTGGTGACAGGCCCGTCTTAAGGGGGTGGCAGCTGGTGCGATGCCCAAGGGCTCATGAGGCTAGGGGGCCCATGAGTATACTGTATATACATGTATAGTAGATGTATTGGCCAATTCAAGTAATAATTAATTTAACCTCTAAGCCCAATAACATCAACAGAATCAAATCTTGATGTTGTTCTTGAAGATTTTGCATCAAGAAAAATGCTCGAGGGCAGATTTTTAAAAAGAAGTGAAGCATAGCTTTATTTGAAGTATCCAAAATTTTACTATTGTTTTACCTTTTTTAAATGTGCTGCTTTTTTTTATTGGCTAAATATACATTGCAAGTTATCTCTTATAAATAGTACTATATACTCCAATTGTTATATTCAATTTTTAATTAGATTGTCGGGCCCTTAGTGTCTTGCTTGCCCAAGGGCCCTCGAAATTGTTGAGACGTCCCTGGCTGGTGATACTAGCTTCTCAGTCGCCTCTCTCAGTTTCGACTCGATCTAAATAAAAGATATTTCCAAAAAAAAAAAGGAAAAATGTCACAAAATTGTTCAAGATAAATTTTCTATCTATTTTTTTTTTTTCCGAAACGATAGAGATTATTATAATCAAAAGGCACAAATGTGCAAATACAGCCCATAGCTGCCAAGACAGCTACCAACTAAAAACTGAGAGGACAGGTCAGAAGACCGCCTAGAACCTCAACTACCCAAGCTAGAATAAGACAGACACAAAACACTACCAACAACTAGAATCGCTCCCCACAGGAGAATAGGATCGGCCCCCACGGGGTAATCAACACAGAGGCCAACGGCCCAGACCAAAAAGACAATACATAAAACACTAAGGCAAAGAGCCCAGACCAAAAACACTTAACTAACACAGACTCAAGCAAACAACACCAAAATCGACACCAAAAACAAAAAACAAAAACAAGGCCCTTCCCCAGTCGAAAACCACATCGAGCACAACAACGGCAAAGTCTAAGTACAGGATCCTGACCCAGAAACTGCGAGGACGCCTAACTAAGTCGAGAACCAACGGACCTATCCTTCGTCCAGACGAACAACTCCTCAACCACCCGGAGACAAAATATCCAGTCCAACCAGCCCGGCCCAGCCCAACTCGACCCAGCCCAGCCCAGACTGAACCGGCTCAGCCCAGCCCATTGCAGCTCAAGCCTGAACAGCCCAACCCGAACCAAACCAGCCCAACCCAGCCTAACAATTGCACAGAACCCGACCATCCAATCTCAGCGACCGCGGCACCAAAGCTTCACACTCACCCAAGAGATAGTTTTTTATCATTAATCCCTTTAGATATTAATACAATATCATAAAAGAACATAAAACACCATATATATCTGGCATTTTTCTTAATCTGCTCTTCATCGGATCTTTGGTGCTTTTATCAAATACTACGCACGACGCGCCTATCAAATACGACGCACGACGCTTTTATCAATTTACTGTTAGATCTATTTGGGATTAAATATGTGTAATTAATACATTGGGTCATTATATTATTTAGCCAAAATAAGTGATCAAATTATTGTACATTGGCTAAAGAACTTAATTTTGATTGTGGAATGATTAAATGTGGACACCCGGTAATATTATTATATGGTGACATAACAAATAATAATATTAAACTAAAGGACCTAAATAGCAAATAATTTGAGTCAAAATTATTTATAGATGGAGTTCCTAAAAGCCGTAAAAATAAAGTGATATCCATTTAAATAACCCAAATATTAAAGGAAGTGGTTGGCAGTTGCCGACACTTCATACATTAATTGTAGATTAACCACTATAAAGCAGATAAGGGGGCATCATTTCTGCATAACAAAAGTTATGCTTCCTTTCTTTAATACGTCAAATAAGAAAGAATAAAAAAATAAGGATCACGGTCTTTTGGAAAATTTCCAAATAACAAATTAAATTTTAAGTTCCAAAGAGATAAACATCATGAATCTATTAGGTATGCTTCTGATATTCAGTTATAATTCTTAATTATTCAATATGAATGCTCATGGGATTAATCGATTTATTTTAATCGATTTATTATGAATAAAGTTAAATTCAATTCTATCATTTACATGTTGTCCTTTGCAACCAAGCCGACGTTCTAAATATTTTGTCTTCATTTTGAGCGCCCTTCCTTTCTATTCGGTGCAAACGAACATGCTCCCGAAGGCCACTACGAAAGGGCTCGCTAAGAAGTGTAGAGCATTTATATGGGGAGGTATTGAAGCTCGAAGGAAAATACACTTAGTGGCTTGGAAAGAGTTGTGCAAACATAAATCTGAAGGCGGTTTAGGGGTCCGGGACCTCCATCGAATGAATGAAGCCCTCTTAATGAAAGTTGGCTGGGGCATTTTAACTAAACCAGAATCACTTTAGGTGCGTGTATTATTGGCTAAGTATAGATTGAATTTTCGACCTCATTGGAGTTGACAGCCGGGAGTCAAGCCTCGCAATTAATGCGAGCGGTGCGTCTTGTCTTGCCACAGGTTGTTAAAGGTGCCCAGTGGATATTGAGGAATGGAGAGCGTGCACGTTTCTGGCTTGATTCATGGCTAGACTCGGAAGGTCCACTTATCAGGTATGTTAACACACTTGGGCAGCCGGCTGATGTTCATGATGTGGTTGCCGACATGATCGACCCTAATGGCGAATGGAACTGGGCCTATTTCCACGGCATCCTCCCTTCCTCAGTGGTCCTTCGGATTGCTGGGATGCTACTTCCACGAGCGGCTGCCGGCGAGGACCGCCTGATTTGGGGACTGTCTGCCACCGAAAAATTTACGACAAAATCAGCACGACGAGGCAGCCATCAACCGTTATGGACCATCATTTGGCAGAGCCCGGCACCACAGCGCGCCCGCATGTTTCTGTGGCTCGCCGCTAACGACCGCCTCCTCACCAATGTCGAGCGTGCCCGGAGACACTTAACAGGCTCGGTGGCCTGTGAGTTATGTGGAGATCCAGAAACGATGTTGCACGTATTTAGAGACTGCCCGCCTACTTGGGAGCTTTGGCTCCGCCTATTACCGCCGACCCGAGATCGTAGCTTTTTTCGGTTGCCTCTGGACCAATGGTTGCGCTTGAATCTCTCGCCGGCGAGAGTAGGGCGTGACGAAGAGTGGAGCAGCATCTTTGCGATAGGTGTATGGCGCGCATGGTTGTGGCGTAACGCGAGGGTATTTAAAAATCAGTGCCTTGCGGTCGAGGTTCGCCGGCTGGAAGTTATGCGGCTTGCAGCGTGCTATTCCCGAGCGCGGAAAGATTATGTTCGGGTGGGCGCAAATGTCCATGTTACTCGAATGATTCGGTGGACTACCCCGCGGGAAGGATGGGTCAAAGTGAATTATGATGGTGCAAATTCCAATGCTACCGACTGAGCTGTGCGGGAGGACTAATCCGGGATGAGAATGGCAAATGGGTTGCGGGCTTCCTTTTCAAAATAGAATTTTGCACGATTACAGGCGCTGAACTTTGGGGTCTGTTTCAGGGTTTTTTGCTGGCTTGGGAGATGGGTTATCGGAAAGTCATGGCTGAGGTTGATAGTCTATGCGTGAGGACTATGGTGTGCGATTCTGAGGATGTCTCTGTACCCCATGATGCACTAATTCGAGCTATTCGAGAGCTGCTTCAAAGGAATTGGAATGTTCATGTCAACCATATCTATAGGGAAGCGAACTTTGCGGCTGATTGCTTGGCGAGCTTAGCGTACTCGTATCCGCTTGGTCTTCATCGTCTGGAACTCCCACCTGCCGGGATAGGCCCATGGATTGATCACGATAATATAGGGGTGTCATATCCCCGTAGAGTGTTAGCCTAGTAGCTTTTCACCTCTCTTTCTGTACCAAAAAAAAAAAAAAAAAAAAA